CTATTGCTGGATGCTGTTGAAAAGTTGTAGCCTACCCCAGAGGTGGCTGCATTTTAGTGGTTTAATTAAGTAACTCAACATACGCGACTTTGGCCGGTGCAGAAGACGACAATGGCAGGCCAATGAGATTTTGTGTCTGCTGATAAGAAGAAAGCAGGCTCATCTGTAATTTTCCTGTACTTCGTTGAATTAGTGGTGGTGGAGTCCAACATTTTTCTTGTACATCCCTGAATAAACGTTGTTTACCTTTGATTTTCTGTTTTAAAAAATGATATATATATATATATATATGTCATAAATATATTGCAATAGCACCTAGAGGCCTTTACTCCACCGTGCTAGGCACTGTACAAACAGAGTGAAGAACATTTCTTTGCTTCAAAGAGTTTACAGTCTAAAGACAAGATCTTTACAGTGGGTTGGGGAAATGACTGAGCAAACCAAGGGAGGGAGGATAGGGTACAATAAAATATAGTTTAACATAGGTGGGCATAATGCATAGCAGAAACCACTTAGCCAGCCAGCTGGTGAGCTGACAGATCTGACTTCTGCTGTTCAGCTGATCTGATTTCACTTGATTTTGAACACTTATCTATTCAAGCTGAAAACAGCATGGGATGCCCTGCACACACCTACCCGCTGGGGTAACTAAATGCCTCGCTCTGTAATAAGAAAGTTTTGGTTGAGGAGGGTTTGAGTTTAGATTTTGCTGAGTCTGTCACTTGATTGCGGAGGAATAGGCATCTTGGCCAACTCCTGTATCAAACTTAGGGTAGCTTTGTTGATTGCTCACTGACCTATCTTTATCCTTCAGAGCAGTGCTGTTCTGGGAGATGTTACCTATGGTTTGTCCAGTTAAAAGGCATGAAGAGGTATGAGATCTCCAGCCAAACAGACTCTTTAGTCACTGAGCAATAAGTCTCTGAGAGTTGAATTGTTCTTGTTCTTCCTTTAGGTGTTGCTCTGTCCTGACTTGGATTTTGATCAGTCTGAAAGTGACCAAGACATCTCAGGACTCCAAGGAACCAGCCAGAAAGCGACACAGCCAGGCTATCAAGGGGTACTTTAACAGCGACGTCAAACTGAGCCAAATGGAGAGAGTGCCAACCAAGAAACCAGCAGTAGAGACTATTTTAGAAAACTGGACTTTGATCTGATGTTGGAAGTTGGGGTGGGAATGCTAGTTTATTGCACAGTTAAATGGAGATCACATGCTGGGTCGAACCAGATCTACCCTTTGCAGTTATTTTCCTGATGGCGTTTCTGTACCTTCTGCATTCTTGCTGCCCAGTGTGATGGCTGGCTCTTCATACACCATTAACTCCGGCTGTACCTGTATTTGTCTCTAAACTGGACACTCCTAATCCTATCACGGTTGGGACCGTAGAGAGAGATTTCTCTGGCTGGCCAGCTGGCTGTAGAATTTGTCAGGATGGTGGTAGCATAAGTCAAAATACTAGATCTTTTTTATACGATGGAAGATTTACCTTGTACTAACTGCACTGTGATGCTTTCTGCATGCACAGCTTGCTCGTAAATAGCTCACTTGTAAAATGTATTTAAAAATGTCTTTGGGGTTGGACTGATCATTCCACTGCATCTGACGTTTTTACTCTTTTGTAGGGATTGTAATAAAAGTTTGACTTAAAGTTGCTTCATCTTTGGAATGCATTCCTGGGCTTAACGTTTTACAAAGAGACGATGTTACAAAGGAGATGGCTCCCCTTCTAAACTCTCAATCGCAGGGACTTGCCGCTTGCTTTGCATTGGCATATCTGAACTGGAACTGTCCTGTCTTGGCCCAGATGTTAATCTCGTTAAAAATCTGGGCAGTCAGTTGGGTTAATGATGTGGGGAAAAGCTGGTTTTCTAAAGCCAGATTTTTCAAAAATCTGTCTAAAGTGATCTCTAAAATAAAGCCTTATTTAAACAGGAAAGTTCATCTGGGCAGGAGACAGCTTTCCCAAAGGTTGGTCTAACATCTGGAGAACAAACTCCCTCAGGAAGGACCTAAGGACCGCTCCAAACCTTGCCACCTTCTGCTCTAAATGCAAGACACCCTTCTTCAGCCTGCCATAAACATAGATTAGCATGTGCACCCTACCAAAACGTTCCATTGCATGCACAATTCTCCCCCCCAGGAAAGGGGAGAGAGAATGAACCCCACGTGACTGATATGAATCGAGTTGCGTAATGCATAACTGGAAGGCATTCAGATTCTACAGTAATCTGAGTATCCTAGAAGTGTAGGACGGGAAGGGACCTTGAGAAGTCATCTAGTCCAGTCCCCTGCACTCAAGGCAGGACCACGTAATAATGTGCCGTATAAAACTAGAAATATTTATGCTGCTGAGAAGAATTTGTGATCCAAAACCCATTGACTTCAAGGGAGAGACAGGGCTTCAAATCACACCAAGCACACATTGGATGACATGCTTCTCAAAATGCACCCACCTGCAGAGCCTAGTGCCTTCACTGGGCGCTATCTAGCTCTTAGCACCTTGGTTTATAGGTCAATTAAGGATTGTCTAAATGAGTCCTTGGTTCAGGGCAAGCAGTGTGGAGCCTGTGGTCATGTACTAACCATGCTCCGGTGCATGTTAATCGACCTCGTTTCAAAGCAGAGTAGATTAAAGGGCACTTGGGAACTGTAGTGCAGCAGCAGGATCCAAATGGGAACTTCGGGCATGGCAGGCTAGCGGTAGATTTACACCCCAGCTTGTGGCAAACTAAGCCTTCATTTTTGCAAGCCCTTCTATAGAAGCATAAATAAGGATTTTGGAGCCTGCCTTAAAAACGTTTTGCCCCAAGCATGTGTGAAGAATTTTTAAACTCTGCTGCTTGAAAAGCACATTGTAGGTGCAAATCCTGAGGATCATGTAGCCTTCACCGAACAGTGCACAGTATTCCAAATGTCTTGAAAGGGGAGGCTTTTTGAATTTCCTATTAATGTGAGTCAAATGACCCATTTTTTTTTCCTACCCACTGTACTGCTCTTGGAAGAAACCCTCGAGAACTGGCCATTCTAAACGGCTTGGCTGGACGGCTATTCGCGAAGATGAGTAAAATCCAAGTTTCACACCCCTCAGTGGAAAACTTGCAGTTGTGTGGGTAAGTTAGCAAAAAGACCAAATTTCTGGGCTGCAGAAGGGCCTGGACCAAGACCTTACAAACATTTCATGACGCTCATTAAATAAGAATGGGTGAAAACAGCCCAGTATAGAAAAGGCCAGGTGCCCCTGCACTCTCCCCCCCCCCCCAATGTTCTCTTAAAGTCCACACTGCGTGCGGGTAAGATTCCTGCCCATGTCTTCAGCCATGGGACTTCCCAGGATGTGCAGTGTCACCGGTGAAAGAAGCTGATGGGTGGGTATGTCACTGGGGGAACTAGGACAGAGGTGCCTCCCTTTCACCCCCTACCCCCACCAAGTGGCCTTGGGAGAGCCAGAGGCTCTAGCCTCAGGGGCAGAAGCAGGAACCCCTGGACTTTCCCGCCAGAACTGCAGAACGTTAATTGGCTGTTTGCTACAAGCCTCCCCCTCCCTCAGTGTCTCTTCACCTGAGCTTCCCCCAGACCTGTCCTCTTCCCTTTCCTTAAGCTGAGTCCTGCCTAAATAACAGTCCCCCCAACACAGTGGCACTAACATGCCCTATGCTGCCATCCTTGTTCCCCCACCCTGTCTCTCTCTCGTCTAGTTAGCCAATATTGTCTCCTTGCACTGAGCTGTTTTTTGTGCTCCGATTGTACAGCGCCTAGCACAATGGGCGGCCTGGTCCATTACGCAGGCTCACAGGCCCTACAGTAATATAAATAGCGTGTGAAGGCAGGATGGCTTGTGCTGTAGGCAATTGGAGCATGACAGATAGGTGTTCATTCTACAATTGCCCCCCCCCGCCCTTGTTGGCATCTTAGAGGGGACAACTAGCAGCTGGGAATGGAGCTGAGCTATCCTCAGACCTACCAGTACTTCCTCTAGTTCAGAGCTGAAACACTTCTTGCCCTGTGCTAATCGTTCTGCAGGGAGTGGCTTCGTTCTCCAGGGAAGTCCTACAGCTTAAGGCCAGAAGGGCCTAACAGACCAGACCATCTGACCTGCATATCACAGGCCGCCAGCAGCACCCCACAGCCCCCGCACATCAATGTCAATAACCCTACTTAGACCAAGTATTGCAGCCCTCAGGAGACCAGACTGTTCTGTGCCACAGGCAGAGAACAGGAGCGACCGAAGTGCACCAGTGCCTGAGGTCCCTGCAGTGGCAGGGAAATATTAAGTGAGAGCCACCCGGACACTGGGGTGCCTTTCAGAAGCTCTTGATTCAGAGGAGAATCTAGGATTTGCGATTGCTGCTATCCTAGGTTCCCATCCTGCTCCACTCAAATCTATGCTGCTTAAATGACTGTAATCTCTGAACACCTCAATCATTATATAGAAAACATCTTTGAAAAAATCTACCTCACTGTACCCACTCCTCTCCCTGGGCGGCTGTCATAGCTGTTAGTCATGTCACCTGCAGCGCTGTTGTAAGACAGTGGCGATGAGTGTGGTGGAAGAATGTGTAGACTAGAACACCTCCAGGAAGCAGGGAAGTACCATTATTCTCATCTTTGTGTCTGAGCTTCCCAAAGGACTTGCCTGAGGAAGGCTGGTGGAGCTGGGACTTGAAGAGCTCTCCCATATCTTTGGCTAGTTCCCTCATCCCTGGACCCATTTTCCACCAGTTGGACACCTTCCACCACTCCACGGCAAGACTCTGACATCTATTGTTTGCATCGGTCTCTGGGCCAGAGCCTGCTACTGATTTTTAAACATCTCCACTGTGGTCACGAAGGCCATTATCAACCACCTGATACTTGGGGCAGCTGCTTCTTCCAGGTGAATGACGCCTGAGGGTGCTCTTCCCCTATCCAGCAACATAAAACATGTGCATAACCTTAGTCTCACGGCAGGTTCAACCAAGTGTCTGCTGCTTCACACCAAATAAAAACATCACCTCCACGGTCACTGTAAAGTATATTTATTGTGAAAAGTGATAACTGGATCCCCACTGACCAAATCTCAACTGTGCTGTTGTCCGTGCTCCCTATACCTATGGGGTTAGATTTCATCCTTTTGGGGTCAACTGAAATAGCATGTCCCTAATGGGGTGGGGGAGACGTGTAATGCACTCGAAGCTTTAGCAATACATATTTATGTACAGAAAGGGGGAAGAAGGGGGTGTACAACGGAATAAAACCCTACACCTGCCCTAACTAAGCTGCCCTCGAAGGGAACATGCATTTGAACAGGTCAACACTATGTAGAAAACTCAGACCCTGCCTCTAAAGAGCTGAAATATGGGTGACGGGAGGTGGAAAGTGCGAACCCAGGGAAATCCCGTGGCAATAACCACAGTCCAAAGGTGTCTGATGAGCTCAGGAATGTTTCTTACGTGACCAATATCCAGGTCGCTTGCTGCAATTAAAACAGTCAAGTCAGTGCAGGAGTCAGACAACCGTGGTTCATCACCATCGATTTTCAGGGTAAGCAGCCAGTTTAACTGAACAATTTCCCACCCTCTGCGAGATTCCCCTCCTCGCAGCACTTCCTGGTCATGGGCGCTACACAGGTGCTGGCTAAGCTTAGCCTTGGCCTGCTAACCAACGCCGTGCTTACTGCTCAGGAGAAAGGCAGCAGGCAACACGGTTCCGCAGTGTCTGCCAATTGCTCTTTTGAGAGGATTGTTTCCTGAGAGAGCCAAGCCCAGTGCGGTGGCCTCAGACCATGTCTGCACTAGGGCTTTGTGGGCGTCCCAGAGTACTATACTGGCAAAGTACTATAGTGTGGACACAGCTATACTGAGCACAGGCGTGTGTTTGGCGCCCTGTCCCTTTTGCGGCGTGAGGGAGACCCTGGTGCACGTATACCTGGAGTGCGCCCGGTTGCAGCCCCTGTTCTGGCTCCTCCTGACCATCCTTTTACATTTCTGGCTGCACTTTTCCCCTCACCTTTTCATATACTCACACCCTATCCGTGGCCCCACAAAGCCACGGGACCTCCTTGTCAGCCTCCTCCTAGCACTGGCCAAAGTAGCCATCTATAAGACCAGGGAGAGGAGGTTGGCTGAGAGGGTTTCCTGCGACTGGGGGGCCTATTTCCAGGCCTTTGCTCACATATCTGGGCAGAATCCCTCTGGGCGGCGTCCGCGGGCTCCCTTGACACCTTCAAGGAGCAGTGGGTGCTGTCCGGGGTTCTCTGCTCGGTGTCCCCTTCAGGTTCCCTTTGTTTGACCCTTTGCCTTCACACCTGCCCCTGTTACATTTTTGGTTGTCCCCTGTAATTATTTGAGTTCCTGGACCTTGTGGATCCTTCCCTAAGGCTGGGGGAGGGTCCTTTAGCAAGAGGACCAGTGTAGTAAAGCCACCCACCAGGAATGAAACAAACTACCCTAGTAAACGCCCAGTTTTGCTGGTATAGCTCTGGCTATGCTACAGGCTTCTGTCGACGCAGCCACATCAGTCAGGGATCGCCCCGCGTCACATCCCTGACTGACAGATCTATGCTGGCCGAAGTCTGTAGCGTAGCCATAGCCCTCAGATTCAAATTTCACTGCAAAGCACTCGCAGAATTTTGGCAGCAGCGCTGCATTTGAGGTACCTTAGCGGGGCTTTAGGTGGGCAGCTCTAATGGTAGCGTTCTCTGCCACAAGCAAGAAAATTCACTAAAACATGAGATTGAACTGAGCAATGCTGCTAGCCCAGTGCTTCCCCACAATACAGCATTAGGGAGTGGTGGTTTCTACACGGACAAGGATGCTGTGTGTGAAAGATGTCCTAGACTCCAGATGTGATTATAATGTTTAAATATACAAATATCAGCTCTGAATTAGTCTATTTCTCCTAGGCCAAAGCAGTTCTTCAGTGCTCTCCGAACACCTGGATATCATTTGGCTGCTTAAGGTGCTTTCACCCCTTTCCCCCTTCCCTTTGAGCCCCTGGGGAGATACAGTAAATTTTAGTTCAATTCTGGCCTCCCATGCATGTCTTCATGTTTGCTGACGTCCTCTCTAGCAGCCTTTTCTAATAAAAGATCTCCCTGGAGGGTGACGCACAGCATTATTAAATGATGCCTCGCTTTAAAATAGACCAGTCTCTACATTTTGGTTAGGCAAAATCCTCGTGAGTGGCTTGCTCAGCTTCCACACACCCCTGCAGCGTGGGTATCTGTTTAACGGCCCATTTCACAACCTCGTTTTGCCAATTGCCTTCGTTGCACGGAAGCAGAGAGGAGGAGTGTCAGATTATAAGCGTTTGGGGATCGGGAATGAATAAAGATCACATTCTGCCATGGGCCCAGACTGTAACAGTTATATGGGATTTGTATTTCAGTACAAGAGCTGGGACCATTTTGTGGTCAGTGGATTTGGAGTCTGGCTGACTGTTCCTATTCAGAGAATTTAAGAAAGCTTCTATTAAATAGAGTGGGTGCCTAGTGCTATGATCAAGCAGATGTGGTGTGGGTTGAAGCCTCCTTCCTTTCCGAGACAGGAGAGACCATGGATTGAAACATTTAGTCAAGATGCTGCAAGGGGTGTAAGTTACACCACCACTGTCACTGTTCCAGGCTGTAAATGCTTTTTTAGGATGTTCCAATACGCTATCAGCAAGACGCCTCACGAGGGCGTATATCACTAGTGAGCCTCTCTGGTGGCTAGAGGTACACGCTGTCACACTTAACACCACATTCAACACGTGTATGGATAGCCAAGAAACCAATGCCCTGCTGTGGCTCACTGGGTCTGCGTTCAATTTGTTCATTAACCCTCTGATGACCCCGTGGGCTTTCCTTTGTGGGATGCTTTCCCTAAAAGTACGTCTGCCCCAGATAGTTATGATAGCAGGTACCTCATGTCATGTTATCAAAGGAAAGGTTGTGTTGTATGACTTATGTCTTACATTCTGTGAGTAGCCAGACGCTGGTGGGTATTGCGCAGATCCACCTGGGTATTTATTTTTACACCTGTATCTTTCTGTACTGCTAAATCTGACATACCTTCTCTCTCCCTCCCTTTCCACCAGGAGAGCACTTTAGCCCAAACCTCACCCTCCCTGCACTCAACACCATGATCTGCCAGTACAGAAGTGGGGAAGCTGATTTCCAAAGGGAAAACATTTGTTTCTTTGGCACTAAAAAAAAGTAAGAACCACCCGCAGGGTTATTGTTGTTGAATCTGCTGATGCAACCCGTGATCGGCCTTAAAGTCTGTTAGCCATCCCGAAGCTGGTTCCTGTGTCGAAGGGATGAGCAGCAAGATAATCCTTATAGTCTCCATCGATCAGTTTGTCTGCATTGTTCTTGGCAAACCAGCAATCGACCTCCTGCTCACCGTTGTAGATCTTCCTCTGCTTCCACACGACAGGAACCAGCCTACCTTTTACCTTTAGCACATTCACTGGCCTCGGGTTCGGCTCTTCTGTTGAGTTCTGACTGACCAGCTGGGGACTTCCACCCAGAGGGTCCTGGGTAAGTTTGACTTCATGGTACAAGAACTGACCTGCAAGGAAAGATTAAACTTACTCCTAAAGCAGCCGCTTTGCTTTGCGACAGAGTCTTTTAAAGGGGTCTCCAAAGCAGCAGCCAAATTACCAGGTTTCAATGGCTCTGGGGCTCCTGAAGGGTTTCCCAGCGATGGTGGAAAGAAGCTATGTTCTACAATTCTTTTGTTAATCTCTCACCCACACACAGGGAACTGGGACGAGAACTCTGCTCCTTCTTCACCTCCAGAAACACAGGCCTTGGCCAGTTAAACTTGGAAACTACTTCTTGAGCTGCCAGTAGCAGAGAGCCTCCTGTTCCTCTCTGGGGGCTAAGCCCGCTGGAGGGTAACATCACTTGTTTTAGACCCACAAAGCTCAAACAAAGGGCGGAAAGAGAGTGTGGTGATTAGGGCACCACCCTAGAACTCAGGAGACCATTCTCAGCTCTGCCACAGGCTTCCTGTATGACCTTGGGCAAGTCCCTTGTTGTCTCGGCCTCAGTTCCCCAGTGGGCAAATAGCACTTCCCTACCTCACAGGGGTGTTGTGAGGATAAATATGTTAACATCTGTGAGGTGCTCAGATATTATAGTAATGGGGACTGTATAATTACAATCGATAGATACACTAGTGGGAGACGGGTCACATGGAGAACAGAGGGGTGAGAACGTTGAGAACGTTGATGGCAGACAAGCTAGTCATGACGGGATCGAGGCAAGAGTCCCACTTCTCGGCTGACCCATCCCATTCCTCAAGGCTCACCACCTCCTGCCTCTGTCCCTCAAACCCCTTTGAAATAGTCGCTTCTCCAATATCACCCATCTGAACAGTTTGCTACAGGTTACAACTGAAAGAGCATGACACCTACCTAGCAGTCCATGGGAATGAGGGGAGAGCCCTTTACTGTTGGAAATGTAGAATCCCAGGTGATTCCTCTGGTAGGGGGCAGGATTCTTGTACTGGTGGATCAGGATGATGAAGCTGATGGTGCCGTGTATTGCCACGGTGACATTGGAATTGGCAAAGATAGACACCTCCAGGCCACTGCTCCCCACCGTGGCACTCCGGTCACATGGCAAAATGAGTCTTTCCCCATCATCCAGGATGACCTTGGTGGGTGTGATCTCGACGTAGGATCGCTCTGGCTTATTGCTGAGGATCGTGATGGTGGTGAAGTAGGTGCGTTGTTTCTTGTGGCCATTGGGAGGAGCCGGGGCTCCAATTAACTGCCCGTTCACAGTTACACCTTTTAGAGGGAAAAAACAGTGGTTTAAAATGTGAGTGAATGAACCGCTCCGAGCTGATGCGGTGGATCATGCATAATGAAAACCTCATTTTGAGTGGACACTGAAGTACCACTCATGCTGGGATCCTAGTTCTCCCAGCTACCATCTTGTTTAAAACAATGGGGCCAACATTTTCAAACCTGATTGCCACAAGTTAGGCCCCTAACACCATATTTGGACATCCAAATTTGAAAACAGGCCCCAGTCTATTAGCAGAATTCTGCCACCATTGCCCTGGTCAGTGTGAGAGAGGATATTTTACTTGAGCGCTGAGTTAGCATGGTATTTGCAAACTGCATTATCATCAACCTAGGGCAGGTAGGCGATGGCTTGCTTTGACAAACACCATCCTAGAACCCTGCTCAATCACACACAGTGTTAACCAGCATGGGTCTAATCCCATTTTGCACAGGACCATGGGGTAGAATTATTTCTGATAAGAGAGGAATTGGATCTGGCCTAATACCACTGTTCTATAGGAGTCAGGGTTGTGGGTCATTCTCTGTAGGCTGCAGTACACCTAATGTGGCAATGGTGAGAGGTTCTGGTCCAACAGCCCTGAAGCCCTGCTGCCTAAGGCCAGAAAAGGTCCAACACTCCTTCACAGGCGACAGCAGCAGAAGTGTGATGGACCCCATCTTGGCCAACATACCAGGGACTGAACCAGGACTCCCAGAGCTAAACGCACAACTTCTACAGCTTGAGCGAAACAGCCCTCAGTGGGACAGCGCCAGACTCATAGTCTCTGTGCATGGGCACTGAGAGGCACCTGTAACTCCAGTGGGTTACACACGCTTCTCCCGCTCTGCCCTTCCAGCGTGCCTCAATTCTGCACCAGAGAAGCCACAGGTAGGGGTGGGAGGCCATGCTTACAGTGTGCATGGCTCAAAGGGGTTGCAGACCCGGCAAATAAAAATTCTACAACTTGAGCCTGGTCGCTGAGGGGCACGTTTCACCCCTGGCTAAGGGAAACCTTCCCTCTGATTGCCTGCGTTTGCCCCGCCTCCTGGGGTATAAGCTGCTGATCAGCACTCTCTCCCTCTCCCTTCAGGAACCCACACTGTTCTCTTGGCGGGGCGGGGGAGCGGAAAAAGCCCAGCAGCTCAGGGCTGCTCCACTCCCTCTCCTCCTTTCCCCACCTGTGAGCAATGGGACGGCTCCTCTGTAACTCCCTCCCTGCCGCACCCAGCCTGCTAAGGGTGGGTGAAGAGATGACGGGGGAGTGCAGCTGAGACTGGGTGGGGTCAGAACCGATGGAGGGCTGGGGGAACCGGCAGGTGTGACGTCACTTTCATTTCTTTGCAAAATGACAGACACCGGCCTCGGAAGGTAACAATGGAGGGTCACAACTGGCCTCGCGCCATCAGTGCAGAGGTGAAAAGCTCCCTATCCTGCGGTCACAGAGGAAACGTTCATTCCTTTCTCCATACACTTATCTGCCATTTATTTGAACCTGGGTGACGCTGTTCTCCCTCAAGCACACTCTCCTCTCAAGCCACAAAAAATCAGCCAACCTAGCCGGTGAAGGAAGCTAGTGGTCTGTCTGCAAGGGGTTCGGTGTATACTGAAGAAAGCAGAGGCTGGACACAGATGGGACAGGGAAGTTGGGCCAATGCTACAAAAGTGCCACACAAAATAGCTCTCCAGTGACTTTGTTTTGTTTCGTTTTTTCCTTGTCAGACAGACTTTCGTATTGCCTTTCATGTTTACGCCCCCACCGCCACTCCATGGCTTTCCTGCTTAGCAAATAATCCACTTACTAACCATTTTGCTTAGGAATTCCAGGTCAGATCTGAATTTTGGACAGTCAGGGGGTCACACTGGTCTATGCAAAGCAGAGACTTAATCGTTTGTGATTTAGCTTTCTCAGGACTGATCCAGAGGCAAAAACTGTTTTAGTGCAATTACTATAGACCCTCCGTTAAAACAAACTGTCATTAACTGCCTCAGTGCTCAGGGACCCTTCTACTGCAGTTTGACAGGGACTTAGCACTGAAGGCCGCCAGCCCCCTAAGTAAGCAGCATACAGTTAAATGCTAAGGAGTAGGTCAGATACAAAACCTGCCCACCCCACTGCTGGAGAAGACTCTGCAAGCAGTGGGCTGTGGAAGCAGAATCAGTTAGTGAAACCTGCAGATGGAGCAAAGGGGGGCCCAGCGCCCTAGCGTAATCTCTAACAGTGGGAGGCTGTTGGCTCATGTTAAGTGCCCCAAGTTTAGCATCTGAAACTCAAGATGGCCTTTTATTTAGCTGTGCCTGCTCCAGCTAGTCAAGTGTGGCATACAGACCACATGTGTCTTACCTAACAGGCACTGCTTGCTCAGATCAAGCTGGAGCATTGCATTCTGGGTCTTTGTATTTCCATGGTCCCGATCTCCATATTAAATATATGGGGTGGTGGCAATCTGTTCCATTTGACATGAAGTAGTTGCAGCTCCTGGCCTCCTGCCAGTGGAGCCCTCGGTTGGGCAAAGTTTGGGCACCCTTCAGCAGGTTCTGCATGTGATTGGTGCTAAGCCATGGACAGCCACTGGGGTCTTATGCGTCTCCATCTCCCCATCTGTAAAATGGTGACAGAGCCTTCCTCCCTCTCCGGCTTGTTGTAAGTTTAATGCATAAAGCACCTTGTTGCTAAGTATTTTCACTGTAGGACTGATACCTGCAGCTCAAATTTCCCCAGTGCAGCAGCTGCTGGGGTAGCTCCAACAGGATTCCTCATTATCTTACCAGACTCATTATGATCGGAGACCAGTCTGAGAATGTCCCCTGGTTGCCCATCAATATTGAAGCAGACAGCTAGCTTGCTGGAGGGGAAATCAATGACAAAGTGAGGGTCTCCATCCGCTGAGAAGACATGAAAAGGAGAACAAAGGTAAGAGACGTTCACGGAACACCAGTATCCAAGTGCCGAATCTCACAAAACAGGTTTCAAAGAGCCTCATCTCTGTTTTCTTCAAGATTTACTGGTACATTTTTAAAGGGTTTATGGATAGCTTGTTTTGTTTCCCCACAAAAAATGTTGCGTTTAAGGTGAAAAGTCAAAAACTAAAATATTTCATTTCTGAAGTACTGCCATGGTACTTCATGGGAGTTGTAGTTTGGGTGCCTCATGCCCCCATTATCCTATATATAGGCCAGGCTCCCTGGCTCAACTACATCTCCCATGATGCACCACAGTCTCCCCTCTTGGTGAAGGGCTGCTGCGTAGTCATGGTGCATCATGGGAGATGTGATCCTGGCCCATGGAGAATAATAGGTGTGTGAGGCACCCAAACAACAACTCCCATAAGGTACCATGGCAGCACTTCAGAATTGAAACATTTCTTTTTTCCACTGAAAACATTTTGAGTGTTCAGTTTTTCGATGAAAAATCAAAGTTTTCCCTGGGAAGAAACCACTTCCTGTTTAGTCCAAAACCCAATTTTCTATCAATAAACAGTTTAGAGGGACAATTTTTGACCAGCCATAGGATTAGCATCACCATCAGGCACAATGAACGTTAACAGTTGAGTCTGGGCAAGTCCTCCTGCTCATCAATATTAATTTGATGCAGTAGCAGGTAGATTTCCCACACAGCAAGTGACCCACTCTTGCAGCGCCAGCTGGTGGAACACAGCCATACAGAGATTGGCCTGAGCTGTGAACTTCAGAGCTAGGCGTGATCTTCTTTGGTGTCTGGTGAAGTTCAGATCTTGGGTCTTGGTTTAGGTCTATGTAATGTTTTAAAGGATTGTTGAAAAAACAATTAAAAATATTGTGAAAACTTTTTGACATTTTTTACTGTCTTTTAAAATTTCAGCAACATTATTCTGAAAATCAAGTTATTGTGACCAGCTAAAATATTGAAATAAAGCCCTTATGACCCCTAAAATGAACTGGCTGTTTTAAATAATGCACCTATGTCTTCCTAATATACCACCCCGCTGTGCTTCCTAATTAGCACTCTTGCTAACTTTTAGCAATTCCTGATCCTCTCTCTTTTTTTCTTTTTTCTTCCAAATTACGATATTGTAATCAAATGAATAGGATCTTTGCTGGTTTACTCCAGGAGGGTGTATGCCAAAGGCACTAAGAGTTGTGGGTTTGTAAATCAACCGTTCTTTATCTTCAGTTACAAAGTATACAGAATTGGGAAATAGACACTGACCTGATGTTTTGGATATTTTAATTCTTTCTTTGTCTGGTTGCTTGGATACACCTAGAAGAGGGGGAAGAGAAAGCAGCCAGAGTTATGGGTACAATAACAGACTAAGCAATGTTATAACAATGTTCCCAAAACACTGCTCAGAGACATTACATGACTTGCCCAAGGATATACGTTGAGGCATTAGCAAAACCAGGATTATAATCCCAGTCTCCTACCTCCCAGTCCTGTGCTTTAACCACTAGACAATCCTTTCTAATTAAATCAATTTTGAGGTGTGCCTATTTTGAAAGAATGTGTCCAATTATTATAATTATTTTCTTTGTACCTGGTGGTACTTTGTGTCCTTGCAAACTCTGCGCTCTTTCCCCAATGCCCTCAGTAGAAGGACTGGCATGAATCTCCTTAGGCCGGTCTGCCTGTAACTCCTTCATCTTCAGGGAGGTGAAGGGGATGATGAAGTTGTAGGTCAGGGCCAATGACTTGGCTTTATCCATCAAGTGTTGCCTCTCCTCCCTGTCATCACTCTTCAACCAGGAGGTCAGCAGCTCCTTGATGGTGAGATAACTCCATGCCCTTTCAGCATAATTCTGAGCCTCCTTGCCATCCTCCATGCCAGGAGAGCCCCTGATGTCATTCTTGCTTGGGACGTCTATGGCCACGTCGGTTTTCAGGAGGATGTACTTGTTGGCATTGCTGGCCGTCACCTCTACGTGGAGCTTGCCCGAGTTGCGCTCGATGAGCTTCCCGGCAATGACAATTTCAGACCCATTGAAGTAGTTGGGGAAGAGGTTCTGAGTGACCTGCTCCACACTGTCTTTGGGATAATCAACCCGGATGTCGGAGAGAAGGGGCGTCCCTATCTCGTCGTAGAACCTGAAACAAGTGACATTTCCCACAGGTTAGTGTTTTCAGCCAGGTACTCACACGCGCACACAGGTACCTGTACGCAGGGATACACACATGCACAGAGTGCTGAATTTGCACTCGGGGTGGGATATTCCCCCAAGGTAATATCAGAGGCATGTTGGTAGGAGTTTTCCTTTCCCTAGTTCTTTGAGCATGGATCCTGTGCTAGGATCTAGAGGCTGTATTCCACATGATCTCTTCTGATACAGGAGGCCTGGAAGGAGAAGATCTCAGCACAATTTGTTTTATGATTCTGTGAGAGTCAGAATGGTTTCCACTAGACCTGGAGATTATACACCCGTAATATATCGGTGTTTCATCTAGGGCTTTCTTACAGGACCTAACACATCCCTGGGAATGTCTCCCACTTGGTTGGATTGAAAAGCGTTTATAAGGGACCCAGACCTGCATTTACGGCTGCATGATTCTCCTGCTACAACTGGTGGCCTGACTGAGACCTAAAGCCACCTGGAGAGCACTGCATTCTCTACCAGGCTTGAGCTTTCTAGTCTCAGCCTCCTCTTCTCTTGCAAGGCAGGACTCACAGAACCCTGAAATCAGGTATTGAAAGGTAAACAAACAAAGAACTGACTTCAACTCTATTTTTGTGGCCAAGCTACATTCCTTTTTCATGCCTGCACATACAGGCTGTTAAAGAGCTGGGACTTCGAACATTTTTATTTTTCTCTTTATAAAAAGCTTTTCAGTTCCCTTTTTTAGAATAATATTGAGCACTCTAGTGCCCTCAGTCTAAGGACCTCAAAGTCCTTTGGAAGCATCAGTTAACCCTAAGAGTGCTATTATTCAATCCATTTCACAGAGTACTACAACAAAGCACAAGTGATACTGGGACTTGCCTGAAACCACACAGAGGGTCAGTGGCTTTGCTGAGAGGACAACCCAGCAATCTGGACTCCATTTTACCTACTCCAACCAGTGGACAACACTCCACTACCTTTACAAGCAAGTCTTTTCTCTGATGAGCTCTTGTGGCCTGATAGAGCTCCCGCCGCTTTCAATGGTTCAGGATCAGACACTGGTGGATGGGTTTCCACAATGTATTAAAGTCCAGAGGGCAAACAGGCTAAGTATAGTGTAACAGAGCAACACAACTATGATTGGAAGTGTGCAGGCTCACCCCTATGGATACCTAGGGGAACTAGGAGTTTTTTCCCCCATGGAAAATTTCATTTATTTGGCAGAAATTCAAACACCAAAAAATGCTGGTCAAAACCTGAATAACTTCAATGTGGAAATACAGCCACAGTGCCTCATGGGGGTTGTCGTTTGGGGGACTCGTGCGCCCATTCTCCTCTACGGGCTTGGCTTCCAGGTTGAGCTACATCTCCCATGGTGCACCATGGTCTCCCTCTTTAAGAGGGGAGGCAGTGCTATATGAAAATCCCTGGCTATGGTGTACCATGGAAGATGTAGTCCGGTCAGGGAGCCCCCCCCAATTGAGGTGAATGAGGACAGGAGGCAACCAAACTATGACTCCCATGAGGCTATGCTGCAGCATTTCCAAATTCAAATGTTTTAGGTTTGAGGTGAAATATTTTTCAATAAAAAACTCAAATCAAAATTTTTCACAGAAAGCAGACGCTGTTTGTGTCTCAGAACCTTAACATTGTCTAACATCTATTTAAATGGGCAACGAGTCCTTCTTTCTCCACTTGCACCATGGGGCGAGCTGATGTAAGTGTCTCCCAGCTCTCCAGCCATCCAGATTTAGGCACACACGCAATATCTCTGTCAAAAGAATTTAAACCAAAGTCTTGTTCTGAAGGGCATCAAAGCTGTACTACGGTACACTGTATCTTGAGCGGGGGGAAGAACTCCCAAGTAGCCATCCAGCCATGGAAAGAGCTCTACAACCATAAGACCATCAGAACGGCCAGACTGGGTCAGACCAAAGGTCCATCTATCCCAGTATCCTGTCTACAGACAGTGGCCAATGCCAGGTGCCCCAGAGGGAATGAACAGAATGGGTAATCAACAAGTGATCCATCCCCTGTTGCCCACTCCCAGCTTCTGGCAAACAGAGGCTAGGGCAGCTTTTATCAAATACGGCCACCGTGGACTTTTCTTGCAGCCACAGCCTCCTGGGCAGTGATTTCAGGGGCGGGGGGAGGGCTGCAAAGCAGTGGCCCCCCTCCCCCAGGGCCACCAGCAGTGGTTGAGCCCTGCCCACCTCTGGAGACCCAAAAGCTGGAGGAACAGACAGCCAGTGAGTTCCCCACCTTCCCACCACTGGTGGGGTCAGGCTCCAGCCCTGTGGTGGCAGGTGGCAGGCTCCAGCCACAGGGCTTCAGGCTCTGTTCCCAGGCTGTACGGTGGTGGGCTCTGGCCCCAAGGTCACCCCCCCCCCACATCACCCCAGTTCCTTGCTGCCTCCATATCCACCTCGCCACCCAGAGCTTAATTTGTCCCCAGGTTTGCCTGGGCTGAGTAAGTCTGCTGTGAAAAGTGATATTTGTATGTTTGTTAGTACCACTTTGCACAGCAGGCTTAGTAACTAGGAAGTCTTTTTAAAAAGCAACCAAAAAAGCAAAAGACACAACAAGAAAAAGGATAATAACATGCAAAGCACCTTATTTGTGTTTCTATTGGGTTTAGGGTCAGTAAAGAATAGAGACAACTGTACATTAGTTTTATTATTGAGTCTGCAAAAAAAAATTCTACATAAATAAATTACACTGACTTAGACACGTGTATGTGCATACTTGTTTGTTTTTCCTAAAGTTAATTAAGTATTTTAGGGAAAATTGTCAGAGCAGCCACCAGCAAGAGTTGGTGGCCGCACTCTGAGACCACAAAGAAAATTGAGCTGAGAACCCCTGGGCTAGGGACACCATCCCTGCTCACACTTATCTGACCTGCACCTTTCAACCACAGTCAAACCTGTAACAGCCCCAAGTTTTTGGGGAGGAGGTGGAGTTTTGAACCTGTATCGGCACCCATATTTTGTTAATGGCCCGTATCTTTATAAACAAATTTCCCTGGGAAAGCCGAAATCCAGATCCACCATCTTCAGCTAGAGCCTGTCTCTACTGTGAATTTATCTGAGGTCACTCCTCCCCACACCCATACCCAGTCTCATCCAAGGCCCCAGTGCATCCAGGGCGAAGCTCAACAAACCCTTTCAGCTGTTCGGCTGCGTCCTCGTCCTCCTGGATCTGCCGCATCATGCCGCAGTTCTCCAGGGACATCCTCTCCAGCAGCTTATAGTCGACGTCGTTGCCAATGCCGATGGTGAAGAGGCAGAACTTCTCGCGGATGGCCTCCTTGGTGTTGCTGAGGATCTTGGAGGACTGCATCTCCCCGACTGTGGGCCGCCCATCTGTCAGGAAGATGATTAGGGAGACGCTCCTGGCGTCAATGTCGTTCTGAGCGATGTAACTGTTAAGCAGCTTTGCACTCGTCTGGACAGCCTCATTAATATTAGTACCTGGGAACGCAGCAAAGTCATGAGCTTATTTTCCTGATTAAATGCAGTGCACATGGCTGACAAGAAAATCTCAACAGCTTGCAAACATCTGATATGTTCTACTCATTGCGATGTGCCCTTTCCCTCAAAAATGGTACTGTTCCTGTAAGCAGGCTCTGTTATGCCACCTCTTGACAGGTCTGTATCTCCGTCAGTGGGCACCACTACACACACGACATTTGACATTGCAACAGAGGAGGTGGAAAACAAGGCTAAAAATACTAGAGATAGTCCTGAAGTGAAATCCTGGCTCCATTCTTGAATGTTAGAAGTTGGGAATCAAAACCCAGAACCCCAAATGGAATTTTGCAAATGGTCTTTATAATGGGTCCAAAGCAAAACCCCAGAGCCAAACATCCCGAATCTCTTGCACTCAAAATGCAAATCCAAAGTTGTAGCTTGACATATTTTTCAAAACCAGAGGAAAGAAATCCCCCATGCTTACCAGTATCCTTTTTAAATCATAACTCAGAAAAATAACATTGAAGACTGAAAGCAACGATTTTTTTTCCAAAAAACATTTTGTGGTAAAGGGCTCATTTGTGGGAAGGTAGATGGGTGTACAAATACTAATGTGAAGACACCCACCCAACAACTGTTTGCTAAATGAGACACATTAAAGAAGCAAATCAGACCGGTACACTCGCTGAGATGGACAATCAATACATCTCTCTTTTCCAAACTCCAAAGTTTGGCATGCCGTTAATTATTTCCCTTTGTTTTGGGCTGTAATTAGTCATATCCACTCAATGCAGGCTCAGCTGGCCCTTACGTGGTTCTCCTTTGACACCTCTGGGATAACATGCTTTGTTCATTTGGTAATCACCTTTGGTAATTGTTTAGCTAGGCATGTTCCCCTCCCCACCCTGCCTCTTCCTAAACTCTTTAGCTAGTAGTAAAGGCAATGCAACAGACCATCCTGTTTGCTCATTTTTCCTTTGGAATGCTTCAATTAGAATGAATGCTTATTGTTTAGGCTGATAAGGAAAAGTAGGGAAAGCCCTTGCAGATCTTTAGCCAGCTGGAGTCTCTGGTCTTCCCAGAATTTCTTGAGATCATTTTACAGGGCTTTGTGCAGGTCATTTGGTGCTTAGACGTTAAACTGATGATGGGTCCCCAAGAAGTACATTAGGTTACCGGGGTTCCCAAACGTATTTATACTGTGGACCACAACTTAACAGAGAGATCATTGCACCAAATACCTCCTCTTGTATTACAATTAGAGGATTATTATTTATTTATTTTGTTACAGTAGTGCTAGGATCCCTAGTCATGGACCAAAACCCTCTATGCTAGGCACTGTACAAACACAGAAGTCAAACAGCAAGTCAAACACAGAACAAAAAGACACCTTCCCTTCCATTTGCAATCCCTGCGGCAGCTCCTGCAACTGCTTGCATGCTAAACTAACATTAAGAAATTCTTGAATATATCTCCAGCTGCCCCTTAACAGTTGCTTAGCAGCTGGAAACAAGGTGAAGGAGCCAGCACCATGTGACCAGCCAGCTCTCTGTAGGCCACAGTTTGAGAACGGCTAGCTTAGATAGTTGGGAATCTTGTGTGATGAGAAGTCAGAGGGTGGGATTTTCAAATATGCTCAGCATTGGGCTAAATCTGCTACCAGAGAAATGAACAGTGAAGTTCCTATTGACTCAGACAGCACCAGAGAGAGGCCAATGCTGAGAACACTTTTGATAATTCCACCTGGTGTTCCCTGAAGAGATCTGCAAGGTCTCAGGATGGTGTAAATTAATCAAAGGAACAAGTCAATCCCATCTGGGTCTCCAAAGCCTACCTCCAGTAGGTGAGATGTTATGGATGTACTTCTTGGCATCTCTTATGTTGTTTGGAGTCACTGGCTCCAGATGGTCCTTTTGCCAGACCTTGATTCGGTCAGAAAAACCAACAATATTGAAGTGGTCCTCTGGCCTTAGGTCCCGGAGAATGCTGAAGAGAGCATCTTTGGTCTAAAGAAAAGAAAAGAAAAGAAAAGAAAAGAAAAGAAAAGTACAAGTCAAATTCTCACTGCTTTAATGACAAGGGCCCAGATCCTCAACGATATTTAGGCACCTAACTCCCATTGATTCCAATGGGAGTTGGGCGCCTAAATATCTTTGAGGATCTGAGCTAATAAGCCTCACTCCCTAGATGCTTATTATTTGTATTACAGTAGCACCTCGCGACCAGGGCCCCACTGTGTTAGGTGCTGGACAAATATATAATGAAAAGACAGTCCCTGCCCAAAAAAGCTTGCAATCTAAGTGTAAGATGGGAGACACCATTTGGATACAGGGGACAGACGGGGCAGGACAAGGGAACAGTTATGAGTAGTGGGGCAGTGGCCGCAGCACACCCACTACCTAACCATTGTCAAGTCTTTTGTAGGCATTGTGGCGTAGGTTTTAAGGAGAGATTTAGGGGAGGATAGTGGCTTTGCAGGTATTTACAGGCATACGGGGCAGCCTGGCAGAATGCATGAAGGTGTTCATCCAAAAGAGTGACAAATGGAGTAATCCAGGGTGATAGAAATCAAATATTTCTAGACCTGAGGTTTTTATACAAAGAAAACCTGGAGAATAGCACAAATGTCCCATCAAGTGGTGTGGCCAAATTCCTCTTGATTCTGCACTGAAGCTGGCGATTTCATTGCAAACAAATTATCCATTGCAATGGAATGTCTTAGTCATCCCTCCAGCTGGTGATCTGGGGTCTGATCCAAGGTCTATTTGAAATCAGTGGGACTCTTTCCATCAGCTTCAATGTGCTTTGGATCAGACGACGGGTGCCCTGAGCAGCTCCTAGTGATCCGCATCCAATTTGTAAACCCTTCCCCAATTTTATTTTGATGATTTCTCTTTCCCCCTTTCCAATCTGGCAATAACTGATATTTAATCCGTTGTTACGTTTCTGTGGAAAGCATTCCATAACTGTTTCAGAGACAACGATACTAATAGAGACAGAGACAGTGATCAGATGGTGCCCTTGTATTTTAGCAGTGATGGGAGGTTCAGATTTAGGGCTTGGTCCTGAAAAGCACACAAGAGTTTGAACGCTTTCCCAGACCTCTGAGACCAGCTCTCCCTGGCAGCACGTGCTAGACATTTGCTACTTCCTGGAGCATTTTCTTGGCGTTTAGAACAATGAGGGAAACCTAACAGCAGGTGTTACGAGAATAAAGGCTGGGCGGGAGTTCACATCATGGGGGACACTGGCAGTCCCACGTTTTGCTCTAGCGTGTAATCCCATACATGCCCTGATGAGGTGTGAACTGCCCACCTGCTCCCGAAGAGTTTTGCCTGGGCTTGTTTTAAGCCATGAGGACATTTTCAGTCTCATAATTATACACATGAAATTACAACCTATAACAACAATGCTGGTGCATTATGAGCCTTCCGAAGACACCCGACATGACAAACTTTGCATTGGATACCACACAAGCATATTATAAGGATGAACATGGGGGTGCAGGGTGTTCACCCAAGATACAGAGTGTCACACCAGCATAGGCAGGAGAAAGAGAAAGGAATAGAAACCGGGCCTATGGCTTAGGGATGAATTTCCAAGTCCTATCATAGATAGCTCTGTTTAAGGGTGCCCAACCCTTCCCATTATCAGATCTTATTTTCAGTTGCTTATAACTTTGCTAAACAGTATTTTTTGGGGCTGAAATTTTCCAAGCTGGGTGTCTGCCTCCAAATGAAATCTCTTGGAAATTTTCAGCTAAACTAATTCAGCCATTTTCAAGAACGAGGCTAGAGAAACAGATTTACTTTTGCCCCTGTTAAACAATTCTGGTGACCTTTCCTTTAAGCAGCTCTCATGCCACCAGGCTTTGGAGCAGGGACTGGGCAGGAGGGTAGCTTTTTGTGTCAGGAAGTGCCTTTCGCCATCCTTGTGAAAATCTGCCCAAATTTGGCTTAAATATAAACTGAGAACGAGGCTGGGGTTGGGCACCAGAATTGAGAGGAGGGCACCTATCTCTTTTATGCTCTCACTGCCCCGCATTTATGCCCATTGTGGAAGTATAACATTGTATAAGTATAACGTTGTATAAGGGGACATGCTGGATACATTGTATATGAGAGGGCATGCCAAAACATGTTACAAAGTATCTGAGGGAGCACACGTAGGGACAGTTAGCTTTTGAATGGAGAAGCAATTAAGATAGAGCCAGCACGTCTAAGAAGCAGGCATCAGAATGGAAGGTGTGAAGGGCAATTAGTTAAGTTAACTGGAAGCTGTTAAAGGAGATTGTTAAGGGTGGCAGGTAATTGAAGATATGTGACTGGTCTCAGGGATCTCGAAGGGTGGTGACTAAAATCTTTTTCTTCTTTTGTCTGTAACTTCTCTGTAACTTGTTCTCCAAAAAACTGTATAAATTAAAAGACACAAGCCCCACTCGGGGGGCTCACTTCTAAATGTATTAGCAGAGCAGCTTTGCTAATAAAACAGAGTGGTCTGATAAATTGTGAGTCTGAGTCAAACTTTGACACCATGCAGTGAGGAGGACTAGGAAGCTGCCTGATTTCAATGCAGAGGAGCAAGAGCCAGACCTAGGGGAGCGAAGAGAGTTGATTGGGATAAGGAGCTGAGAGGAGGCTGGGGCAGCAAGGAGACTGTGACTGGGACAAGTAGGATGGGGGCAAGGAAGAGAGTGGGGAAAGGAAGACAGATCTGAAAAAGAGCCAAATTCAAATTGGGAAAGAGGGACTAATAGGGGAAAAAAACCTAGCATGTGACGTAATTAAAGACTATATCATAACGGCCACACACAAGGCATAATGTATCATCATTAAAGACCGTATTACAGTGAATATACACAAAGGGGGCTGAATTAAGGTTACACTGGCACCTGTAATTCTACCATTTTCTAACTTTTGAATGCTTGAGTTTGCAACCTTAATAATGTTCTTTTAATGTAAAGGTGTGTGTGTAACATACTTCAGTTTGGTCTGAGTCCAGACATGAGCAAAGGGTTAAGGAGGGGTGTTCTTATTTAGTGGTTCCCTCTACCCATGCGTTTACTTCAGCTCCAGTATAAACTAAAGGCCCGATCCTGCACAATACTGGGCACTCTCATCTCACACTGAAACTGATGGGAACAGAAAAGGCTCTGCACATGGCAGGGCAGTGCTGGAATGAATTGCCCTGATTGTTCTATATATTTGCATGGCTCCTTTTGTCTTTGAGACCAGGCTACTTTGTCATGGCAGCTGAGGAGGACAAAGCACCCCCCCTCACGGACATGAAACTCTATCCTGATGAAATTGCAACATGTGCATTGCAATCCATGTTCCTCTCCCCTGTGTGGGCTACAGCAGTGGTTCTCAACCAGCAGTCCGGGGCCCTCTGATGGGCCACGAGATGGGCCACGAGCAGGTTTCAGGGGGTCCACCAAGCAGGTACAGTATTAGACTCGTGGGGCCCAGGGCAGAAAGCCAAAGCCCGATCACATGGGGCTGAAGTCTGGGGCCCTGAGCCCCGCCACCCAAGGCTGAAGCCGAAGCCTGAGCAATGTAGCTTTGTGGCGGCCCCTGTGGCATGGGGTCCTCCAGGCAATTGCCCTGCTTGCTACCCCCTAACGCCAGCCCTGGCTTTTACATGCAGAAAACCAATTATTGTGGCACAGCTGGGCTGTGGAGTTTTTATAGCATGTTGGGGGGGCCTCAGAAAGAAACAGGTTGAGACCCCCTGGGCTCTGGGAAAGGCATGTCCTTGGGAGCGCTAAGACTTTCCTTACACGGGGTGTATACAAGTCAGGAGCTGTCAAGGGGCCACAGCTTTTATCAAGGGAAACTGGTCAGTAAGTTTCTACCGCTGGCATCCCTCGGAGACTTTAAATACACTGCTCCAAAAGGCAAAACTCCATCGTTCCCTGCACTGACTGATGGCTGCAGTGAGAAGTGAGGGCTTCTGTAGCTACCCTGTGGCAGCCTCTGTGCTTAGGGCACACTGACAGCTTTCTGCATTTGGACCTTGTAAGGCCAAAGTCAGAATTTATCTCCAGGGAGTCACAGGCACTGCAGTGAGATCCCAGCATTTCTCTGCACCTAATGCGGTCTCTGCCCTTCAAATGCTGCCAGCGCCCAGAGTGAGTCATTCCACTGAAACGCATGTATGAGGACAGTTAACCCTTTGATTGCTGGTATTTTCCAGACTGCTAGCCAAATGGGTGGTTAGCGTCACCCTGCATTTAGCCTGGTATTCTTATTTTTAACATGGGAGCACCGAGGAAGCCAGATCAAGGATCAGGGTCCTATCATGCGAGGCACTGCAGAGCTAAGTAACAAAGAAGGCTGTCTCTGCCCCAGGAGAGTGGTCTGAAGGCAACAGGTGGAGGAGACAAGGAGTGACTGGGAGGAAGAAGTAGCAGTAAAATAGAGTTTAACGAAAGTCTTGTCTTGCCCCTTGAATGATGTGAAGAAGTACAAATGTACAACACGGGTAAATTTTAAGGAGGGAGTTAGCCGAGGAGAAGGTTGCAGCTTCCTGAATACTATGGGGCAGGTTTCTCATTCATAGAATCATAGAATATCAGGGTTGGAAGGGACCTCAGGAGGTCATCTAGTCCAATCCCCTGCTCAAAGCAGGACCAATCCCCAACTAAATCATCCCAGCCAGGGCTTTGTCAAGCCTGATCTTAAAAACCTCAAAAGAAGGAGATTCCACCACCTCCCTAGGCAATGCATTCCAGTGCTTCACCACCCTCCTAGCGAAAAAGTTTTTCCTAATATCCAACCTAGACTTCCCCCACTGCAACTTGAGACCATTACTCCTCGTTCTGTCATCTGCCACCACTGAGAACAGTCTAGATCCATCCTCTTTGGAACCCCCTTTCAGGTAGTTGAAAGCAGCTATCAAATCCCGCCTCATTCTTCTCTTCCACAGACTAAACAATCCCAGTTCCCTCAGCCTCTCCTCATAAGTCATGTGTTCCAGTCCCTTAATCATTTTTGTTGCCTTCCGC